GCGCCTTCGGGTCAGGGATAGGTCTCTCACTGTCGTTTGTGCCTATGGGCCGAATGGCAGTGCAGAGTACCCGGCCTTCTTGGAGTCTCTGGGAGGGCTGCTGGATAGCGCTCCAACCGGGGTCTCCATCATTCTACTGGGGGACTTCAACGCTCATGTGGGCAATGACAGTGACACCTAGAGGGGTGTGATTGGGAGGAACGGGTCCCCCGATCTGAACCCGAGTGGTGTTCTGTTATTGGACTTCTGTACTTGTCACAGTTCGTCCATAACCAACACCGTGCTCAAGCATAAGTGTGTCCACCAGTGCACGTGGCACCAGGACACCCCAGGCCGGAGGTCGATAATTGACTGTGATTGTTTCATCTGACCTCCGGCCATATGTCTTGGACACTCAGGTGAAGAGAGGCGCGGAGCTGTCAACTGATCACCACCTGGTGGTGAGTTGGATCTGATGACAGGGGAGGAAGCTGGACAGACTCGGCAGACCCAAACATACTGTGAGGGTCTGTTGGGAACGTTTGGCAGGAGCCCCTGTCAGAGAAATCTTTAACTCCCACCTCCGGCAGAGTCTCGACCTGATTCCGAGGGAGACTGGAGACATTGAGTCCGGGTGGACCATGTTCTCCACCTCCTTTGCTGATGTGGCCGCTTGGAGCAGTGGCCGTAAGATCTCCGGTGCCAGTCGTGGCGGCAATCCCCGAAACTGGTGGTGGACACCGGAAGTAAGGGATGCCGTCAAGCTGAAGGAGGAGACCTTTCGAGCTTGGTTGGCTTGTGGGACTCCTGAGGCTGCTGACGGTTACCTGCAGGCCAAGCAGACTGCAGCCCGGGTGGTTGTGAAGGCAAAAACTCACATCTGGGAGGAGTTCGGTGAGGCCATGAAGAGGGACTATTGGTCAGCCCCAAAGAAATTCTGGCAAACCATCCGGCGCCTCAGGAGGGGGAAGCAATGCCCTTCCAAAACTGTTTACAGTGGAGGTGGACAGTTGTTGACCTCGACTGGGGACATCGTCGGACAGTGGAAGGAATACTTCGAGGATGTCCTAAACCCCAGTGTCACGTCTTCCGGTGAGGAGGCAGAGGCTGAGGGCTCAGAGGTGGATTCGTCCATTACCCAAGCTGAAGTTGCTAAGCTAGTTGAGAAGCTTCATGGTGGCAAGGCACCAGGGGTATATGAAATCCACCCTGAGTACCTTAAGTCTCTGGATGTTGTGGGGCTGTCTTGGCTGATACGCCTCTGCAACAGCGCGGGACAGTGCCTCTGGACTGGCAGACCAGGGTGGTGGTCTCTCTTTTCAAGAAGGGAGACCGGAGAGTGTGTTCCAACTACAGAGGGAAATCACACTCCTCAGCCTCCCCGGGAAAGTCTATGCCAGGGTACTGGAGAGAATTTGACCGATAGTCAAACCTCGGATTCAGGAGGAACAATGTCCTGGACCAGCTCTATACCCTGTTCAGGGTGGCGGAGGGTTCATGGGAGTTTGCCCAACCAGTCCACATATGTTTTCTGGATTTGGAGAAGGCATTCGACCATGTCCCTTGCAGTGCCCTGTGGGGGGTGCTCCGGGCTGTCTGGTCCCTGTATGAACGGAGCAGGAGCTTGGTTTGCATTGCCGGAAGTAAGTCAGACTTGTTTCCGGTGCATGTTGGACTCCAGCAGGGCTGCCCTTTGTCACCGGTTCTGTTCATTATTTTTATGGACAGAATTCCTAGGCGCAGCCAGGGGCCGGAGGGAGTCTGGTTTGGGGACCACAGGATCTTGTCTCTGCTTTTTGCAGATGATGCTGTCCTGTTGGCTCCATCAAACCAGGACCGGTCCATCGTGGTCAAGAAGGAGCTGAGCTGTATGGTGAAGCTCTCAATTTACTAGTCGATCTACAGTCCGACTCTCACCTATGGTCATGAGCTGTGGGCCGTGATCAAAAGGGCAAGATCGCCGATACAAGTAGCCGAAATGAGCTTTCTCCACAGGGTGGCGGGGCACACTCTTAGAGATAGGGTGAGGAGCTCGGTCACTCGGGAGGAGCTCAGAGTAGAACCGCTGCTCCTCCACATCGAGAGGGCATCTGTTTCGGATGCCTCCTGGGCATCTTCCTAGGGAGGTGTTCCAGGCATGTCCCACTGGGAGGAGGCCCCGGTGAAGACCCAGGACACGCTGGAGGGATATGTCTCTCGGTTGGCC